AAATCTGGGTGGTCAAAAAATTTCAGGTTTTAAGTAAAATAATTTTGTCTTCTATGAAAAACTATTTCAACTTTTTTTTCTGAAATTGCAATTTCAGGATCCCAAAATAATTTGCGTGCAAGTATAATTGATATCACTATGAATGTTATCAAATACTTGAATATGGTTGTTGTTATTGTAAAGAATATTACAAATGGAAAATTTATAGTAATGTGAAATCATTTTTGAAAAGATTGGAAAATGGACCAAATATTCTAACCTCTGAAGAAAGAGAAGAGAGAGTGGATGTTTCAGTGGAAGAAAATGAAATAATAGAAGAAATAGAAATGAATGAAAGTCAAAAAGTGCATAAAAATTTTTTAACATCACTTAACAATGTTAACACATGGTAATATAAGCACTTGATATCTTGAATCTTCAATATTTGCTGTAAAAAGGATATTTTTGCTATATTCACACAAAGTATTCACTTAATAATATTAATAGTAATAATAATTAATAATAATAATAGTAATAATAATTAATAATAATAATAGTAATAATAATAATAATAATAAATAATATTATTGTTAAGTTTCGTTCTAATAATAATATATTTTAAAATGCTAAAAATGTTAAAATTAACTTTACCTGCCCTGCAAACAGTAATAGTTTTTATATAGCCTATATAAACATTTGTTATAAAAAACGCTTCTAAGTAAACTTTATAGGGAATTGGATCAAATCTGATCAGGCTAGCGAACATAAAGAACAAGCTTCGAAGAATATATTTGCAAAGTTTCATTTAAATAGTTGTGTAACATGTAGATCAAAATCTAGACTTTCCCTATGTTCGGCACAGGAAATGCGTGACGAATTAATAAAATACGTAGAGTCTAACGAAATTGAAGAACAAGACATACCAAAAGTTTCTACAATACAAGGTTGGATTAGCAGATACGCAGCTGCATTTAAAGAGCAAGCCACAGAAGCAGCACTTCGAAGTAATGCCCAAAATACTTCTTAAATAATGTTTATAAAATAATAAAAATAATAAATAACAAAATATTAAAAATAATTGTTTTTATTTAATTTTTATAATACAGAAATATATTTCATAAGAGTAATTGTAAAATGTAATGCCTAACGTAAGAGCCGAATTTACTAATATAAGACAAAATTATAAATATTAAGGTGACGATTTTTTTTTACAGTTTATTCAAGTTCTATATGATTGATCGGATATATAAGCGTTATATAAAAATCAGTCATGTGGCAACAAGAGTAGACGAAAAAATGTGAATCGGATCTTTTATTATAAAAAAAAAAAAAAAAAAAAACAAACATTAAATTCCTTAAAGATTTTTATTGGTGTTTAACCATTTTATGTTCTATAGATAACTTGTAACATTTCTAAATATTTTGTATTTATATACACCACATATTTCTTTATGAATTTCCTTTTTCATTTTGAAGTCACATGCATTTTCTTCGTTCTGCGATATAATTGTTAAAATTCTATGATGATTTTTTGAATATTAAAATTTTTGAAGAAGAAAGTTTCGACTTATATAATATACAGTACAGCATTTATGTATTCCAAGTAATTCGTTAAAACAATTTTTTATTTTATTTTATTTTATTTTAATTTTTTATTCGCGTTTATAAGTTTATTCATGTCAGTCCTACAAATTGAAATCGATAACAATAAATCTAATTATGTCAATTGTAATAACGTCATAAATGAATTATTTTTTAAATTCAAGAAAAAAAAAAAAAAAAAAAAAAAAGACGAATGTTTACGCAGGAGTTGTTTCGAAATAACTTAGTAATGAAAATAGAATCGAATTCAATCGTTTTTTCTATTTTCACAAATTTCAAACATTATTACTTTGTTTACTGGTTTTTATTGTACATATTTCTGAAACGTGAGCGGACAATTTGCATCACCCTAAGCATGCAGTAAGGCTTTTATTTATTTTTTTTTGTGATAATCGACATAATCGACTAATTATGGGAAATTTGTACTTTTTAAAATAAGATTTGAACGAATTAAAAAATTTATACAATAAATAGTGACTTCGGGAATGAAATTATTATTAGTTAATCATTATTTATTTAATTTATTTAGTAATTTGTTTAGTAAATTGTCTTAAAAAATCGTGTTAAATAATTTGTCCAATTTGTTTAATAACAGTATTCCAGAGGACTAATACAAAGAAAAGGTCATAAGGTTACAATTAAATCAATTAAGTCAAACATTTTTCCAAACAAATATGGTTAATACTTGATCTAGGAAAGACTTTCACGTTTTTTTAACGTTTTTTAATTCATTGTTCTAAAATCTTCCAAAATTTTTTTTGTGTATTTTTGGCATTTTGGTGTATTCATGCATGTATTCAAAAAAAAACCACAAAAATAGCTTTGATTTCTTTTAAATTGCTATTTCTTAATATAAATGGGTTCATCCGCATTCTTGTTACACGATTAAGGAGAAGCATCCCGGAAAAGTTATAGATAAATTAAATATTACCTTGAATAGGTATCAAAAAAAAAAATATTTGGTATATTATTGTATTATTTGATAACAACACGAAACCCTTCGTTCCTGATTTAAATATTTAAATCAAAATTTTTTATATTGTTATACTTTTGTAATTTTATTTATAATTGACTGAAACTCAACATAAAATGACCCAAACGTTTAATATCCGTAATCAATTTCTCTTCATTTTTCATTTCTATCTCTTTTTTTTTTTTTTTTTTTTAAGTTAAACGATAAGGCCTGGTGCCGTAAATATACTGTGTATACATATCGTTTACTTGACTTTTTATTAAAAAGTTTTACAAGCCATAAAAACATTCCCCTAACAGTTTTACTATTAGACGATATAACGATCATATTTTACATATTTTGAAAATATGAAACTTACAAAGTATTTACATTTCCTTGTTTTTATTGCATTGACTTTGTTTATGCAAAATGCCTATTCTGGTGAGTTTTCTTTAATCTTTTGTTTCCCTTTTTTATTTATTTATTTATTTTTTTTATTAATGTAATTTTTTTTTTTTTCTTTAGCAAAATTAATTAGAAATGATCAATCACAAAAATGCCTGCAACATTCCATTGATAAAGCAAGTTCATGCGTTCCTCTTACTTCTACTTCATGTTTGATTGACCAAAGGTCAGATTCTATTGAATGGAAGTTTATTCCGACTGACCCTGGAAACAGTAATAATAATGAAATATATGTAAGACCTGCAAATGATAATGGATTTTGTCTTTCAATCACTAACGGTGAAGTTCAAGTTTGTAATTGCGATGACACTATCTCACAAAAATGGAAATTCAACAATAACAATTTAATGAGTAGTGTAAATAATCAATGTTTGGATATTAACTTAAAACTAACAAGTTGTCAAGTTAATGACAATAATTTAATATCTTGGAATTCTTATTATACTGTTTCAGGTAATAAATAAAAATATATATATAATACATGTCTATATACTTTTTGGTTTTCATTTTCACTTTTATTATTTCCTTCACGTTTCATGTGTGTTTGTTCCTTAAATCTTTTTAACATTAACTAATTTAATTTATTTATTTTATTTATTATTTTATTTTATTTTATTTTATTTATTAGATGCAGTTACTGTTTATTCTAATACTTTATTCAACGGAAATACTTTAGAACTTCGTGTTGGTGAATTTACATCTAAATATCTTCCTTCCATATATTCATCTCAATTTTCTCTTGAAATTCCATCAGGATTCAAGTTTATTATTAAAGATAATAATAATAAAAAAACAACTTATACTACTGACACTGCAATAGTTAATCCAATTATTAATATCGACTCAACAATTTTAATCACTAATATTGGAATGGCTAATTCACCAGATTCCGATGAGTCAGAGAGATTATATGTTTGGGAAATCTTATTAATGACATTATTAGCATTGATTGCTTTGATTTTGATTATTGTTATAATAAGATGTTTCGCTGTGAAAAGACGTCAAAAAAAACTTAATGAATTTAAAGAAAAAATGGATGAATTTTCGGTATCCAAACGAATGAAAAATCTTTTTCATGATAATTCAAATCCAACTCGTCATAAAAAACGATTATCAAGACCTGAAATTTCATATGGTTCATCCGCTAAAGCATTAAAACCACATGAGATTGATGCCGAATTAGGTACAAGAACAGTAGCAGCATCTCCAATGACAAAAGTACAAAACAATGATTCTCAACTTTATTCAGGTCAAGATTATTTAAAATGGAAAAATGGTAAAAATTTTGAAGAAAAAATTAAAGAAACCGCAGCAAAGGATGATAGTGGTGATTTTGACGGATTTAATATTGTAATCGCCAGTGGTGAACGATCTTCGTCAAAAAGAGTTAGTAGAGGTATACGACGAAGTGGGTCCGTTATTATGGGTGGATTTGGTTATGTAAATAAATCTATGTACGGAAATCCTCTTGATTTTGATCCATTTGATAATATTGTTGAGCAAAACGAAGATATTAACAACAGTGGATTTGATGAATACGAATACGAAAATATTGAATATCCAAGTGGTAACGAAGACAATAACCAAATTGTTAACAGAATCAATAACGATGCAATTACATCAACTAATAGTTTGAGAAGGTCTTATACATTACCTGCAGGGCAGGAAAAATCATGGAGTGAAAAATGGGCTTAAAAATGATTTAGAAAAAAAAATGAGAATTATTTTGAAAACAATTCCATTCGTTTTTTTTTTTTTTTAAAAAAAAAAAACACTTGACACGAATGTTTATACATAAACAAACAATTATTACATGATTGCTTTACAGAAAAATATTTTTGATAAATATTTTTTTTTTATATTAGTTATCGTAATCACCAATCACCATTGTCTTTCATTCTTGACTTTATAGCATTATTGAATTTTAATTACAATCATATTCTCAATTCTCTATTTGTATATTAATAACATTTATATTGCAAAAAATAATTATTTCTTTTTTCAACATAAAAAATTTTGTTCATGATTATATGAAAGTTATAATAATTATTTTTTTTTATATATATTCAGAGATATTAACTAAAAAATATTTATCAAAATGGTTATATAATTATTATAAAAATTATCACTTTCAAAGAATGTATTTTAATAAAAAATTTAAATTAACTTTATAAATTTTTACAAAAAAAAAAAAAAAAAAAGAACAAATTGATATTTTTTTTTAAAAAACCGAAATTCGTTTCATTTACTATTTGAAAATCCAAAAGTTGGTCTGATGTTTATGAAGAGAATGTATAGATTCATTAGATTCATTAGTCCATTGTGACTTTTAATAAAAACTTTTATACTTTTTACTTTTTATATTAACGACCGAATGTTTTTTGAATAACCCTTTCCGTGTGCGAAATCGAGTATTTATTCTTAATAATTTAGTTTTTTTTTTATGATACTTTACGAAAAAAGCATGGATTTTCATTAGAATTTACTTGAAGATACGAAAATGCGTAAGGTTAAATTAAATTAGAAGAATTTCAAAAATAAAAAAAATATCAATCATAAATGATAAAATGTTATATTCGCGGTTCGTACAATGTTTAGCAAATTAAATCAAATAAAATTAATAAGAGATACAAGTTAATCTGATGTTCAATTAATATTTCTAAAGTTATTAAACGTGAATTTATTTTTGGGAATTTATCACTTATTATATTAGCCATTGAACTTTATACGCATACATTGTACTTTTTGTACATTTGATACCTCCTTCCGGGATGATGAGATACTGCATATTAAAATCTCTTCCAGTATGTTTCCTGTTTATTCATCTTTGAATATATCCTTTTTAATATGGGAGAATCGTAATATTGATACCTAAAATAAGACGTTTGTGAATCGTTTTGGGGGCGTAATTATGCGATAACACTTCCACGAAGATTATTTTAAAATAAATGAACGGTAGAAGATCTTGATTTATTTGTTATTAGATAGTCATACAGTTTATGCATAATCTAAATATTCTCATAAGTATATAATACATAACTTTATTTCTCTTTTGGCGGGAATTCGAATTCTCTTCAATTTTTTTCGTTTTTTTTTTTTTTTTTTTAAAAAAAAACAACGAATTCAAGAAAAATGGTTGATTCACCAGCATCATATCCTTTCAAAGGGATCAAATTTTTTTTCTCTCATTGGACTTTAATCCGTAGAATTCTCTTGGCTTTGTTTTTAACCCTTATAGTAGCGATTTTCATTATTGGGTTGACTTTTGGATTTTTGCTTCCCTTACAAGTTGCCCTCTTTACTGCCATGCTCATTCCACCTCCATTTTCCATCATTCTTGCTGTAATTGCATGTGTCCTTGAATCTGCAATTTTTATTGTTATATTTAATCTTATTGCGACCCCTTTTTGGCAAGATGCTTTATATGATGATGTCCTTAAATTGAAAGGTTTGGGATCTTTATTGGAAGGCCCAAGTAATGTCAGCGAAGTTACTCTTTTTTGTCGTGGATTAAAGTCAGGATTTGAATTGATTGTTTTGCAGGTACATTATTTATTTATTTATTTATTTATTTATTATTATTATTATTATATTCTATTATTATTATTATTATTATTATTATTATCATTATTATTATAATTATTATTATCATTATTATTATTTATTTTATTTTTGTAACACATTTAATAATAATAATCAATTGTTATTATTATTTATTAGATAATTACACTTGTTATATTATTACCTATCAACGGTATCCCATTTTTTGGTACGATAGCATACTGTTACATTAATGGATGGCCATTAGCATGGAGTCAACAAATTCATTATCAAATTGATATTAAAGGATTATCAGTAAGAGAAGCAAGACATTTAGCATGGAAAGATCGTAAAGATTATACTCGATTTGGTACTGTTTCTGTGTTCCTTCAACTATTTCCGGGTCTCAATTTATTATTCATTTGGACAAATATTGTTGGTGCCGCTTTATGGACTTCTGATGTAAATACATTTTCATTATATTTGTTTTTTCCCCTAGAACTTTATATTTATTTAATTTAATTATTTAATTATTTAATTATTTATTAACAATTTTATTGATTCTTTATTTTAAGATTATTCTCGAAGAACGTAAACGTGTAGTAGATGAAGTGGAAAGAAGTATACCTTATTCACCTTCAGAAAACATGGAAAGCTCTGCAATTACCGCCACAACTACAAAGAATTATGGTGCCACTGATAATAATGCTTGAAAAATTCTTATTATTATATACGAATTTCATTATATTTCATTATCTTCTTTCTTTCTCTTTCGAATAAATTATCAGTTGTTTTATATGTTTTATATGTTTTATATATACATTTTTTTTTTTTTTTGTAAAATTTAAAATAATAATAATGATTAAAATGTGATGGAAAATCTATTATATTTACTGTGTAACAACAAAGGTAAAATATATATATAAAAATGTTTATTTCTAAAAATGGTTGATTTTGAATCAATCAATCAACTCGATCAACTCAATCATCTTAATCAACTTATGGCTGGTTCGCTACCGAATCTTTGTTTATCAACAATTTTTGAATATCTAGAAAATGATCTAAAAACTTTAAGCTCTTGTATTCGTGTAAATAGGCACTGGTGTTTATCTTCAATATGTGAATTATGGAGAAATCCTTTCGATGATTTTTGTGATAAAGACCAACACGTAAAATTAATTAATACTTATCTAAGTTGTTTACCTGAAAACATAAAAGTTAATTTAGGGATTAATCATTTATCAAAGACTGCATTTGATTACCCATATTTTTTACATATTCTTGTTTCTAATAGTATAAATCTTGGTGTTAAAAAATGGATTACCACTTATAATTCTGAATTATCTAATTTGGAAAGAAAAAAATTTAGACTTAATATAGTTCAAATTCTCATTCAACACTTTCTTAAATATAGTGTTAATATTAAAGAAATTAATCTTGAATATAAGCAATTAGTAAATATCTTTAATTTTCCCGGATCATCTTTATCTTTATCTAAAATCAAAAAACTTAATTGTGGTTGTATAGCTGGGAAATTTGGTTTTACCATGACAGATATTTTAAGTTCTGCAATCCCTATTACAAAAGATCTTTGTGAATTAGAAATGAGATTATCAACTAGAGATCATTCTTCCGTTGTTAAACTTGCGGAACTTATTAAAATTCAAAGAAATTTAAAAATTATTTCACTTATACTTGCAGAAAATTCAGAAAATGGTTTTGAACTTTTATGGGAAAGTATATCATTTCATAAACATACTTTGGTTAAGATAGTATTAAGTTCTATAAAGTTCGATAAGAAAAATCCTATTCCTCTTCAACAATTTGGATCATTTCAAAATTTGAAAGAATTAGAAATAGAATATTGTTCAAATTTCACATTTTCAATAAAAGAAATAGATCAACAAAGTTCCTTCAAAAAATTGGAAAAAATTTCGATGGTAAGAAGTTCAGATATTCCGGAAGATTTTATTAATCTCATACTTTTACAATCAAATAAGTCAATGAGAGAAATCAAATTAAGAGATTTTGAATGTTTAGAAGAGGTTATTAAGACTTGCACAACATTCTGCACCAACATCACTAGTCTAACAATTTCAATCAATAAAGAACAATTTATCATTTTGATTGGTTTAATCAAGGCTTGTCAAGATCTTCGACATATTTTCTTAATTGACAACAAGGTGTTCACTTTTATTGATGAATTTGCTTATGTACCATTTTTTTTTGATGTACAAAGATCATTATTAATTCCCACGTACCTAAACTCCAATGAAAATCTTCAAAAACTTGGAAAAGTGATACCAAAATCTTTGAATATCTTTAGATTTCATTTCAATTGGGAATTTAGTTCAGAAGCACTTGATGAATTCCTTTGTAACTTTGTAACATCAAAACTAAAATATCTTGATTTCGAAACGTCCAAATTCTTTACAGACGATCATATCAAAGTGATATTAAAACATTGTGGTGAAGGTACGTTAGATCGATTAGATATTTATGATCAAAATGAGATTAGTGATGAATGTTTGATTGAAGCTAGAAAGAAAATTGGTAGAGTTGATTTAGCAAATAGTAAGATTATGCCAGAAGGTAAATTTGCTATTGTAAAAGAAATTGTGCTTTCTTCATTATATGATTCCGAAGAAGCTGATGCTTACTCTGATGATGAGGATGATTTCATTGATGAAGGAGAGAGTGATGAAAGTGAAATGGACTTTGATGAGGATGATGATGATGATTCTTCTGAAGATGATATATTTGATATATTTGAAGAATTTTTTTCAGATGAAGGTTATTTTTCAGATGATTATGAGGATTATAGTGATTCTAGTGAAGAAATTATGATTATGCATTAATAATATTAATAATGTAAATTTGTAAATTTTTAATTTTTTCCAAAATTTTTTTTTTCTAATAATTCTTGGAAAAAATAAAAAAAAATAATAATATCTAATAAACGTATAAATATAATTCTTCATTTTATTTCTTAGTTTATTTATTAAAGATTTTTTTTTTTTTGGGATCGTTTTTTTTTCTTTCATATGAAATGTGAATGTGAAATCTCTCTAACCCTCTCTAACCTCTCTGATAAAGAATATATATATGTACATATTAAAGAATTATACTGATCTTTTGATGATTGAATATCTCAAATTTATTATTATTATTATTATTATTATTTGTTGTTGTTATTGTTATTATATTAAAATATTAACAAAATTCATATATTCATAGAAATATATATATATATATATATATATATATATAATCATGAAATAATTCATTACTTACATGAAAATGTCACAAAGATTATTAATATATATTGGAAACAAAAGATACATTTATGAATAATAGAAGGTGATTGATAAATTTACATAGCAAAAAAAAAAATAGATCGAATTGAAGATCAAATTAAATGCAAAGATTTTAAGAATTTATAAAAGGAGTAATTTACCTTTGATAGGAAGTAAATAAATCTTTAGGTTTTGGAAAAACTTGTTAAATTTGACTTGTTGACTTGACTTTTAAAAATAGAACCATAGTAGAAGAAATATATATAAGATAATACAGAGAATATGTGCTGTACTAAGGGTAATGGTGATATTTTACATCAAGCTTTAATGATGAAGTTGATTTCTTGACTTGATTAATTTAGATTTAACTGTGTTATTGGTTTTATTAGATTTAATGAATTTAGATTTGGTATCAGTTGAAGATGTTCGAGCAATCTTTGAAATATGAGATTCTTTCGTAATTTTTGATGCAAAGGTATTGGATGATGAGGATGATGGAATGTTGACTTTACGAGAAGTTACTGATACATTGTTGACTTTACGAAAAGTTGGTAATATTGAATTAACTTTGCGAGTAGTTACTGTATTAATTTTATGAGTGATTGTTGATGTCGTTTGAGGAGTAGTCATCCTTTGTGAATTTAAAATGGATTGACCATTACTACAACGAAGTTTTTTTGAAGTATGTGTGGGTGTTTCAATTTCACGGGATCTCTTGAGATTTGAAGTAATAGTACGATTAACTGCTGTGGATGAAGAAACAGCTGACTTCCCTCGTTTAGTTTGACTTTGAGCATGGGATAAAGATGTTGATACGGATATAGAATGTATTGGCTTAGTATTATTACGAATAGAAGGGGTTTTCGATTTGGAAATACTTTGATTAGAATAAAGTCCATAATTTTCATTTGAACTTTTTGGAAGATATTTAACAGGTAAAAGGGCTTGCGGGCAAATTCCATTTGTTAAATTGGTAGGTTTCTTGCAATCTGGTGGTAACCAACCAACTGGGACTGTCATCATTGTAGGGCCAGTTTTAACCTGAAGAGAATTTGTAAGAAGTGTTTTTTTGAACTCTCTCTGAAGGGGTGTCAATTTAGTCCATCCTAAGAAATATAAGAAATATAAGAAATATAACTAAAATTATAACTAAAATATAACTAAAATATAAACTAAAATATAATAAATATAATAAATATAAAATTAAAGGTTAATGATATAAGATTTTATTATAAAATATTACCATGGGTTTTTCTGGTGGGAGGAGGATTAAGATTCAAAATTTTGACCTTCCTCCTTTCTTTTGCATTTTTTAATTCTGCAGTTGATTGTCTCAACTTTTCTTGGGCCCTCTTTAACCGTTCAGTCTGCTCATTCCTCTGCGTCTTTTATATTGAAAGTTATTAAGGTAAATTAGATCAGATTATAATATCATATAAAAGAAATAAAACATTATTTATATTAATAAGAAATTATTATTACAAAGTAAAATTTACGCCAATCTTGTCCTGGAAAATCAAACTTCCTAAAAATATCTGGAAAATGATCGGCAAAATGCTTCCTCCATAATTCTAAAATATAAAATTTTCAATTAAAATTCTGTATATTTTTTTAAAAAAATCCGAATTTTTTTTTTTAATTCTTACCTGAATCTTCATTACGTAATCTCTAAAATATCAATAATAATAAATAATCAAGCAAATTTAATAAGTCAAATTAGTTTATGAATAATTGGTGAGTAGTAAATAATATTTATGATGCTTATTATGTTTATTATGCTTATTATGCACGCTTACCGGGTTAAACTTTTCTAACCTTTCTAGTTCATCTGAGGTAAATTTTTCAAAGAGAGGTTTTAGAAGCCAATAAGGAGTTATACCTATTTTAGATATTTCTAGAAAAAAAAAACAAATAAATTTATTGTAAATCACTTTTACTGAAACGTAACGTTTTTTTTTCTTTTTAATATAAAAATCAAAAATCAAATAAAGATTTACCATGACGATTCTTATACAAAGTCTCCAAACATAATTTTTTGAGAGTTGAAACTTTGGTAGTTTTCACCTTCATACTTTCGGACGTCCGTAATCTCCGTAATCGTATATTCTTGTTGGATATACTATCAGATACTCCATCAATTCCCATCTAATTATTAGAGTTATAGAACGAAGATAAAGCAATGAATTATTTTGCAGTGAACCATAGAAATAAATTTTGTTAATATGAATTTTTATATTTAATCATTATTACCTCTGATTATTAAAGACTGAATCATCAACAAAGCATCCACTTTTATAGACAAATCCAGACTCGTAATTTGTTGTACAGAATTCAAGAATAATACAAGATAATGCAGGCTATACATTCTTTACTGTTTTTGTATTAACTTATGATGATAATAGAAGTACATATCACGTGAATATTCAGAATCTTTACAGTATTATTATTTTTTTGACCAACATTTCTTCTCATTGAAAAAAAAAAACTTTTAAATATAATAAAATTAATAAATTATTATTATTAGTTATTTCATTAAAATGATATTATTTATACAAAAATATTATTATTGTTATACAAAATTTGGATAAATTTATGGCGACATGTGAAAGAATTTAATGGATTATTAAAAATGTTGGTGAAAATCCACAATATTGAGATGCGCCTACGATATAATTTCTTGTGGAGCCAATTACTATTAATATTAATAATATTAATAATATTAATAATAATATTATTATCAAATATTATTATACATAATTATAATATTCTTTGATATATAGATTCACCAGTGTAAGAAGGAAATGTTTAATAAATTCAATAACATTGAATCGTTTCTATCATCATTTTATAGATTATAATTTATTCATTAATTTAATAATGTTTAGCAAAAAATTTACTCTTGAAGTTATTGAAAGTTTATTTATTAATCACATGATTTTAATGATTATTAGACGTAAACATTATTGATGTAAAATATTAAAAATATTATCTAATCAAAATGACATTTATTTATATAATTTATTTCAATTACGGGATATTTATAATTATAAAATCCCCCCTCGAACAAATTCATCTACCCACAAATAAACACAAAACACTACACACCTTTAATATCCTACACTTCAATATCTAACCACCTATTTTATCGATTCAACAACAACATCGCCTTCATAATCGAATAATTTCGAAAGAATAAAAAAAAATCAATAGGTTAATTATCATTATAATCATTAAATGATTATAATTATTAATATAATTAATATAATTATTAAATATAATTACCAATAAAATCAATATTATAATTATAAATTTATTATAATTATATAATTATAATTTTATGTATTTTTATATTGATAAATGTTTATATATTGATAAAGATTTAATTCTTTTACTGGCACGAACAAATAAACACAAATTGCCAGATGAATTCTTCAATTTTTTCGAAAGTTTATATTTTAACTTTAAAAACATACCTGCCGCTAAACTGAAACCTCCCGGAACAACCTATTTAAAAAAAATGGTTTTTTGAATATTTTATATTTACAAGTGTAATAACAAATCATATTACAATAATAATAATGTAATACTTACTTTAAGGGCCAAAGAAAATGAAGTATACTAAATTTTTATAATAATTATTTAATTATTATTATTATTATTATTTTGTTATTATTATTATTATCGTTTATTATTATTTCCTACAAAATATAATAAAACCATTAAATAAATATTTCCATCCTTACGTCGGAATCACGTGATGACATGATGGCGATCACACGCGTAAAATCTTCAAGAGTGATGCTAATTTTCACCGGATATATTCGCCCTCAAAAATTTCCTGATGAGGATATAGTACTAGCAAACCTCCATTACAAGATACTTATGAATATTGTAATAAAAAATTTAATAATAGTAAAGTATTAATATGTGGTCATGATTATTACTATGAATGTTATCAAATTCTTAAGTATGGATGTTGTTACTAGTCAACCTTTTGGGCTAATTTTATTTTCCAAAAGGCAATTTACAACTAGCAACTCGTAAACAGTTACTTTAGTTTACGAAT